ATAAGTACGGGACAAGTGGATGCTCACACTGGTGGGTGCAAAGGAGACATTACCGGAGTGCCTCTCAGTGTTAAGATTGAAGAAATTAAAAAGAGTGTCAAAGGAGGCACTGTGATTAATGTAACTAGGCTGAACGCTACCATGGATGGAGCTAAAGTTGACAGTGAAAGTGTTTTGATTGAATTTGAGGAGTCAAATCTTCCAAAGAAAGTTTATCTTGGGTTCTTGAGTTATCCAGTTAGAGCTTATGTCCCAAAACCGCTGAGATGTTTTAACTGTCAAAGATTTGGGCACACAGCCAAAAACTGTAAAGAAAAGATGAGATGTGCACAGTGTGGTGGAGGGCACGAGTATGGGAAGTGTGGTGAAGGAGTAGCGCCAAAGTGTTGTAGTTGTGGTGGAGCCCACAGTGTGGCATACACTGTTTGTGAGGTTATGAAGCAGGAGAATTATATTCTAAAAGAAAATATCCTATGCAGAGGCAGTGAGAGTGACCAAAGGAAATGCCCAGCAATCAGCTAGAGTGAGGGAAGTGCCAGAGCCCCGGACGGCTCACCAGCAGAGCCGAAATGGAGTTTTTGTTGATACAGTCACATTAGTTACATTTATTGCTGAGGCTATAAACCTCACTGTGGGTGTTAAAACCAGTGATGAGAGGATTAAAATGATAGTGAATGCAGCAGCTGTTTTGCCTGGAGTTGCAGGACTGGCATGGGAAAAGGTGAGGGACAACCTCAGTCATCAGTCCAGTCGGGTAGCATGATTGTATACACTCACCGGCCACTTTATTAGGTACACCTTGCTAGTTCCGGGTTGGACCCCCTTTTGCCTTCAGAACTGCCTTAATCCTTTGTTGCATAGACTCAACAAGGTACTAGAAACATTCCTCAGAGATTTTGCTCCATATTGACATGATACTTGCTACATGATAGCAATACAAAGTTGCTGCAGATTTGTCGGCTGCACATCCATGATGCGAATCTCTCGTTCCACCACATCCCAAAGGTGCTCTATTGGATTGAGATCTGGTGACTGTGGAGGCCATTGGAGTACAGTGAACTCATCGTCATGTTCAAGAACCCAGTCTGAGATGATTTGCGCTTCATGACATGGCGCATTATCCTACTGGAAGTAGCCATCAAAAGATGGGTACACTGTGGTCATAAAGGGATGGACATGGTCAGCAACAATACTCAGGTAGGCTGTGGCATTGACACAATGCTTAATTGGTACTAAGGGGCCCAAAGTGTGCCAAGAAAATGTCCCCCACACCATTACACCACCAGCAGCAGCTTGAACTGTTGATACAAGGCAGGATGGATCCATGCTTTCATGTTGTTGATGTCAAATTCTGACCCTACCATCCGAACGTCGCAGCAGAAATCGAGACTCATCAGACCAGGCAACGTTTTTCCAATCTTCTGTTGTCCAATTTTGGGGAGCCTGTGCAAATTGTAGCCCCAGTTTCCTGTTCTTAGCTGACAGGACTGGCACCCGGTGTGGTCTTCTGCTGCTGTAGCCCATCCGCCTCAAGGTTCGACATGTTGTGCGTTCAGAGATGCTATTCTGCATACCTCGGTTGTAACGAGTGGTTATTTGAGTTGCTGTTGCCTTTCTGTCAGCTCCAACCAGTCTGGCCATTCTCCTCTGACCTCTGGCATCAACAAGACATTTGTGCCCACAGAACTGCTGCTCACTGGATATTTTCTCTTTTACAAGGCTTAGATTAGGACACAGTGGTTTAAACGGGACATTACAGATTATAAGAAAGCATGATACAGGGAGATGTGACATTTGTCAAGAGGAGGAGTTGGTGGAGCATGTAGTTTTGTGGTGCAGGGGCTATAGTGCGAGTAGGGAGATCATGGGGAAGAAGTTGAAGGAGCTCGGTATTAGGGCGGTAAATTCTAAAATTGTTTTTAGGTTGCGGGTGTAGGGTGCAGGTTGGGGTGTTTTTGATTTATTTTAAAGGAGATAGGTCGATATAGTAGGATACAAATAAGATTCCTTTTTTTTTTTTTCCCCATCCCTTGTAAGGGCCATTCGCTAGTGAGCCTGTGGTGGGGACGTCTTCTTTTAGCCGATTCTTTGACCTATTTATCCAGCTGGTGGCGGTAATGCTCCATGTACGGTTGCGATCCGCTGTTAAATCGAAGAAGAAGAATAAGAAGACAGAGTTTAATGTCACAGTATGCGACAAAAACATCGTCAGCATCATCAACGACCCTCGCCCTATTATTGTTGAGGTATCAGGAAGTAATTTGTGCCATTCGTGCATGGCTTTAGGCTTCTCGTTACACTGCCCCCTATAGGTGTGGCATGCTCATAACAGCTCTTAACAACGTGTTTATGCCCGTTTGTGTAAATGAAGATTTTTTTGAATAGATCTGGTGTGAACAATGTTATTTTTGAAAACATAGATCTATTTTTGTAAATACCTATGTATGTGTAAACGTGGCATCAGACTTTCCCACTGTGGTGTTTGTGGATGAACCTAATGAATGTGCCCTAATTATATTGGCTCGGAGGAGTCAGCAGCTGTAGTTAATCCTGATCACTTAGCCTCAAAGAAAATCAGAAACACAACTTTCTACATCACCAAAACTGATAATTCATATTGCTGTGTATATTTTTGAGCCAGCAGGTTTTGCCATATTTCTTGAGAACTTTTAGTAAATTTGCGAAAGAACAGAAAGGCACTATGTTTTATTTTTCTTTTTGTGTGAAACATACCTTTTAATGATTGTATCGCAGATAATTAAGACTTACAGGAGTCATTGGGAGCACCACACACACACACACACACACACACACACACACACACACACACACACACACATATATATATATAGACAGAGAGAGAACTGTGTGTGTGTTTATGTGTGCATAGAGCAATTTAGTGTTTGTCGTTATCCAGTAATAAACACGGTGACATGGAGCTTATAAAGGGATCATGAATAACAGATATGTGGGACTGTTTGAGTTAAGAACGTTTTGCTGGTTCTTCGTCCAGGTCGTGTAGTCTGTGTGTGTGTGTGTGTGTGTGTGTGTGTGTGTGTGTGTGTGTGT